GCCATCCCGCGTCCCGCAGCGCCGCCGCGGGCAAAAAACGCGTGAGGAAAAACCCGCCGGCTCCGCTCGCCTCCACCCGCAGCACAAAGCCGCCCGCGCTCCTTCCTCCCATCTTTAGTTTTCTGTTTAGTTTTCCATTTTTTCCCAGTCTCTCAGCAAGGTCTGCTCACAAAATCCACGTGTTTTCCACACCCCGTCGCGATTTCGAAGCAGGAGGGAAAAACACCCTCTGCCATCTCCCTCCCCGCCACTAAAAACACCAAAGCGAGCATGAAAAGCGGCCCAAAAAGAGGAGAAAACGCCTCAATCCCACGATCAGAGCTGCGGGCAATGCGCGGGCTGGAGCGGGAAAGACAAAAATTAATAAAATAAAATGAAAAAGCTATCTCCCAGTAGAGGATTCAATTATTATTATTATTTTATTATCATTGTTATCTTAAATAGTTTAGGCTACCTCAGCTGTTAAACACGATCGAAGCAGAAAGAACCAACTGCTTAATTTTATTTAATATTTAATCAGAAAATTTTATCTACAGGAATTGACAGGACCCCTCCCCCCCGCCCTTCCCCCCCTAAAAATAATTGCAGTTTTTTTTCCCAAAAAAACTGTTCCTCTTTTCTGTTGTCTTGTTGTTTGCTTTATCCCCTCCGTTTGCCATATACACGTTGCTGCCTCCGTTTTCACCCGGAGGCTTTAAACCAGCATAAAACATGGAGAAAAAAAAAAGTGGGTCAAAATACTCTTTTTTGTCTTTTTTTTTTTTGCATTTTTTTACTTTAAAACCGACAAAACTCACGATTGCTAAAAAAGCTGATTGTACGCACAAGCAGGGCGGAGGGGGGAGAAGCTGATGGTTTTTTGTCGCTGTTGTTTCATTTAAGCGTGAATTCATCTTTTTTTCTCTTAAAAAAAAAGGCTTTTCGCGCAGAAATCCGGCGGTTTCCCCAATTCCCCCGTTTTTCCCCCCAATTCCCCCCATTTTACCCAATTCCCCCGTTTTTCCCCCCAGATCCGCCATGTCGCTCTCTTCCTCCTCCTCCTCCTCCTCGTCGTCGTCTTCCTCCCGACGCGGCCCTTCTCCCCGCACCGTATTTTATTCCCCCCTTGCCCCGAGAAACCTTCGTCCACGTTAAGAAGCCAGCGGCTGATTTACAAAAATAAGGATCATCTGTAATTTTGGCTCCAGAAAACCTTCCCCCGTCGCTTCGCCGGCTTCCGACGCTTTTATTTAAAAAAAAAAAAAAAAGTGGGGGGGGGGGAAAAAAAAAGTAACAGTTTCTGTAAACTAGTGGAAAAATAATTAGATTTGGCTCAAGAAGACTTTTTAAGCAGTCTA